AAGCAGCAAATACAGTGGTGACTAATGATATAAATACTAGATACTAACCTAATAGGTTATGTGAACTTTTTAAAGGTATTTCCTGTCTTGAATAATTTCCAGAGGTGTCCAATAGGAAATTGATACTTCTTTCCATCTTTTCTTCCAAAAATCCTCTTATAAACGAATCTATGTAATCACCTGCAAATTCACAGTAAGACAACTTTTGAAGACACAAAATTTTAGGTATTTTGGTTAATGGGGCAATATTTGCTCTTAGGACTTTAAAAGTCTCGGTTATTTATCTACATCTAGCCTGTGAGTCACTCTCTACAAGCATAATTAATTTTAGAGTTCATACTTTTACCATTGGAATCCAATACAATATGGAAATAATATTGGGGTAGGCAGAATTCTAAAATGGTCTCCTGAAGATCCATGTACCTTGGTTATTCAAGAAAATATATTTACACATATTCGTAAGAATTCTGGAAGGAGAAAAGAGCAACTTAGTAATAATGCTTATCTTTGGGGAACAGGAAGGTAAGGAAATTAGCATATAGTGATTTTACAATAAAATAGGGCTCTAAAAATAAAACCAATAAACACACAAAATAATTTCTGCATTCGTTTTCTATTGCTAAGGAATGCATTATCCAACATTTAATGGCTTAAAAAGTGATAATCTATTTATGAATCTTAGGTAGGCTTGACTTGTTTGAGCTCAGGGGGCTCTCAAAGCCAAAATCAAAGAAAGACAGAAAACCACCAGCTCCCAGCTCCCTAGGAGCCCTCATGTAGTTTTCCTTCTCAGAGTATCATGTAGCCACAGTCACAGTGTCAGCAGGGCTGGGCTCTTATCTGGAGACTGGGGAAGAATCCACTTCCCAGTTCATGCAGGCTGTGGAGATTCAGGTCACTGAGGTGATAGGACTAAGGTCTCCATTTCATCCTGGCTGTCAGCCTGAGGCTGCTTCCAGCTTCTGGACGCTGCCCTCTCCTAACTCCAACGCTGCAACTGCCACGTCCAATCAATCTCAGACTCAGGTAGACCTCTAACTGCTCTCCCTAACCAGATAAAACGCTCTCTTTTAAAGGGCTCATATGGTTGGGTCAGGTCCACTCAAACAATCTCTGTATAAAAGATTATCTGACTTGGGGCTTTAATTACGTCTGCAAAATCCCTCCACAGTAGTACCTCAGTGATGAATATGATAGTGTAGGAGAGGAACTGCTTCACCACAACTTTGCTCTTGGTGGATTCTACCAATTTTTAAACGTTTTCGACAATATGCTAGATGAACCATAGTATGTCATTATCCTGGTTCACATTTCTCTTGGGATTACAATTAGTCAACATTCACATGTTTTTGTTGTTCGTTTTAGTTTTTTGTTGTTTTTTTTTTTTTTTTCTTGTGGCATGCCATGTACATCTTTGCTCATTTTTTTTTTCTCTTGGTGCACTCATCAATTTCCACATTAATTTACACAAGCTCTTTCTATATTAAGGCAATCCAATCATTGTCGGTTATAAGCATGAGACATTTTCACCATTTTTCATTTGGTTTTGTTTAATTTGCAGAAATGTTCATTGTAGGAGAGACACACTAGTCTTTCCTTTGGGACTTCTGGGTTAAATTACATGCTTAGAATCTTCCTGGAAATAGAAGCCTGGGATATTCAACCCCGGGACTCTCCTGTTCACTGTTCTTTGAGGAATCCCTGGCTTTCAACAAGCACTGCTTTGTGTGTGGAGATAAGCAACAGAACACTGTGCCAGTCTTCCTTTTCCTCAGGCCACAAATAAAATTCTCATCTCCACTGAGTCATGTGATAGGGGTGAAGTCATGTGTCAGAGATGAGTGGCCTGACTCAGATCATCCCTAACTAAGAAAAACAGAAAGCAAAACTCTTTTTTGGGTGCGGAAGCACTGAGAGAAGGCAGTTTTTCTCCCTCTTGATTTCCTGGAGACTTCTAGGAGCCCGCATCTCGCATTCTGTGGATCATATCCAAGACAGAGAAGGTAGCAATGGGAAGTCAGAGCTAAGGGGCATGGTGATTGGGGAGGCATTTTACATATCAAGGCATGAGAATTGGTTCTTTCCTTAATTTACATTTTCTTCTTTTTATTAGGAATCTACCAGACTGTGATGAAAGCCATTTCTCACAAAAAGTCTGAAAGACTTCTCTAGCTTCTGGGTGAATAACAATCTGTTGGCTCTGTAATGTAAGGAAAAGTACTCTCAGAACCTGAAAGGAAGGCTCCTCTCTGCCCACTGCTCTGATTAAATCCTAAAATGATGTTTGAAGGAGAAGGAATTCAACCCAAGTCTACATAGAGGAAAGAGTTAAAAGGATCATTAAAGTCTAAACCACAATCTCAATATGAGAACTGAAGACAATCACAGTAATAAAGAGTCATCAAAAGGCACATAAAGTTACAATTACTACAGAACACTATAAAGATGAGTAGGGTTAATTTTTTTAATCGAATTATATATAACAAATAGACTTCATCAATTACTCAGCACCTAGTATATACCATCCAGGCCCTGTGATGGAGAAATATAAAGATGAAAAAAAAAATTTCAGCCTCCACTAGGTATGTGGCCTTGCTTGCCCCTCTGTCAGCTTTTGATTTTATAACAATGATGGAACATAAATCTCCGAAGTATAAATGGTAACATTAGAGCTGTGTATTCATCACACAGCTTTGGAAATACAACATTACCAACTGCTATCATTCTCCCCGATTATATCCCCCTCTCACCTCTCAGGGGTAACTGCTGTCATGAAATTGGTCTTTAAAATTAGTTTTCCTCTATACTCTTACTATACACATATATGCACATATACATATATAGTTACATGTATATTTCCCTAAACAAAATATTCTTTGTAGCATCATGTTAGCCTCAAATGAATGGTTTAAATAATAACCTTTTGTTCCTTGCTTTTGTTGCCCAATACTACCTTTGAGTTTCACCTACGTGGATATGTGCAGGGCTAGTTCATCTTCTGCTACATGCACAGTGTTCTGAGAATGACTACTATACCACAATTCATTTCTCCATTTTCCAACTGGTAAATGATTAGGTTGCTTCAAAAGTTCAGCTATTACACAGAATGTTGCCATTTAAGCCTAGAACATGTCTCCCCATGTTTCTCTCTAGTTTTACCCAGGAGTGACGTTTCTGAACTTTAGTGGTCTTGCTATTGTATCACAATTTTACCTTTTTTACTTTACCGTCTTTTATTACTATGAATAAAACAAAATTCTACTCCACGGAGGCAGCTACCTCTGTCTCTCCCTTCTCCTCAAATGTGTCACGGATAACGCCCACTCTCAAGGCGAGTGCTGCTCCACCCAAGCAAAAGGACTTCTGAGGAAGAGTCACAGCCCTGCTTTCAAATATGAGATCATCATCTGAAAGCCCTTCAGTGTGAAGTCAGAGCTTTCACAATAGCACAATAGAGGAAGTGCTCATACTGTCAACCCATCAATCTTCACAATCCTGAAGACATCTTCCTAAGACATGGATCTTCCTCAAAATCCTTGAAAGGCATTCAACGTCAAAATTCCTTCTACTCTCTGCCTTTCCTTTTTCCTTCCATCTTTATCTTCCCTTACAATCAAGCACACACTTCCTAAGCTCTAGCCACTCATGGGAATTCCCGTTCTCTCACCCCATTTTTACCTGTCAAAGACTTACTCATCTTCCAACATCTTAAGCAAGTAGTTCCTTCAAACTCTCCTGGACTTTCCTGACTGGAATTAACCCTTCCCTTCTTAACACCATCTTGGACAGAACTTTAAACAGACAGCAGTTTTCATTACAGTTTTTGTAATATGGCTCTATCTTCCTTATAATTAGTACCTGAGCCCAAGGGCCTCATCTCTTAATCTTTATTGTCTTTGCAATGGTTTGGATGAAAGAGGTAATTACATATGCCACCAACAGGTATGACTTTAGAGAACACAATGCACACATTCAAGAGGAGGCACGTTCTAGACTGCTTGTAGCAGCATTATTTATAATAGCACATGTGTGTGGATGTGTGTCCTTGTATACATATTAGTCAACTTCAGCAGGAAAAAATGCTGGCTAGTTCTGACAGAGTATAGGATATGCGCAGTCCCAGAATACATCATCAAGGCGTATTGACTATTTCAAGCTGAAGGAAGGTGAGGAAGGGTGTATGTAAGAAGACCTGCCCTAAAACAGGTCAGAAAACCCTCCTGGAAGGTATGTCAGGTCTAAACCTGGAGTAAAGAAATCTTATCATCACTAAAGAAAAGGGACATAGAGGAATGTAAAAAATGGGCCTTGCTAATTTCAGTTTATCACAATTAGCTCATCCCCTTTGGCCTATCACATTTTTGTATAACTTTCCACTCCTCATTAAACCTCCTATAAAAACACTCAGTTTAACTGTTCTTTTGGGTCTTCACTTCCTTGTGAAGGCTCCCATGTTACATCACATAAGTTGGTATGCTTCCCTCTTGTCAGTCTGTTTCTGGTTACGGGGTTCCCAGTGGAGAACTTAGAAGGACAGATAGACACTATTTTTCTTCCCCTAAAGTTCTTAACACCAATCCTCTTCATGTGAACCCACATGCTTGCGCTTCTCAAAGATAATCCTAATGAGCAAACATGTCTTGCATCATCCACACATTTAGAGACTGAGAAATAAATAATTGAAAAAGGACCCCACATAAAAAGAAATTCTCAATTTCAGAGTTCAAACACTGTGAAAGAGAACAAGGTTCGGGCTAACATCAGAAAGAACAGCTTAGTGAGAAACCACCAATAAAACCAGGCTAACAAGATATGAAGACACACCTGAGTTTCAAAATGCCTAGATTATTTTGAAACACACACACACACACACACACACACACAAAACACACAACCACAACCACAACACACACACACACACACACACACACACACACACACACGAAACAACTAGCAAAAAAATAAAATAAAATAAAACTCCAGGAAGAAGAACTAATTACCTGCATGAGCCGAGAGAGGTGAGTGTGGTCGGGGCAATGCTGTTGACTGCCCATTTCCTATTAAGCTTTTTCGGTTGCTTGTTCGGCAACTGTCAAAAGGAAAGGAAAAACAAAGTTTTAAAGATAATATAGCATTAGATGAAAAATGATAAAATAATAGTAACAATAATAATTCAGGCATATTTAATATAGGCACAGACTAGAGGTTCAACTACTTATCAGCTCATACTATTAATAACATTATTGCAAGTCGATATGCACTCAGTAACATTTGAGGGGTGGCTGCCTCTTAAATATTAGAAAATATAAAGTATTCATGTAGTATAACATCATCAATATTCCTTACCACCAGGGAAGCTATAATCAAAAGCCTTCTTTTAGGTCTTGACTGCAAATATGTGACATGCCACACATACAAGTGATAAATTAGGGATTCAAATCAGCAAACCACAGGTAGCATCTTTGTTGACATGAAATTTCTAATACAAAATTACATGCAATGAAGCGCAATGACATTAATCTTACAATGATGCACTAATTAAAAATCTAATTATTTAGACAAATTTCACATTTGTGCCTTTTGTCAATAGAACAGCCAATGCCTAAGATAAATGTATTTCACTACTCATTAATTTTTCATCTTGTAGACAGCATTCAAATTCCTAATTAAGGTAAATATTTTGGAATCATAAAAACAGATTCCTGTTTGCACGAAAATAACAGTGAAGGTCTACTTTCATGGGCACACTCTCTCCCGTTTTTATCCTGGTACTCCATGAATAGAAATAAGTTGCTATATATGGGCATAGGGCAACTATGTTTTTCCTGTTTTTGCAAGTAGAAAATTATAATATAGCCAATCTTATTCCAATGTAACTTCCACAAGCCTCAAAGAATAAGACAAATAAATGCAAAGCTGAGTGACGGTGAAGTGGGTATTGTTTCCATTTGCTTTCCTTTGGTGCAGTTTGGCACTTCATTCTTTATAATCGAACATTGGAAAGATGATAAATTCGCCCATAATAAGTTTCAGGGCATTCTGGTTCCTTCTCCTACCTGTGGGCTGCCTTCAGCCACCTTTAAAGGTTTACTGTAATGTCTTTCTAATGAAGAATATACCTGCAAGAGCAGGTTCTTGAAACAGGAATTTTCACCTGACTTCGAAGTTAGATATATTTTAGAGTTTGTAGAAGATATCTGAAAGGAACATTTCTAAATATGCAAATAATACATTTTCTAAACCAAATGCAATTTCTTTTAGCAATATTGGCTTGCAAACCAACCCTCTCTCCTGGATGTTTGCTGCTTATCATCATTTGTTAACGTGCCCATATTTATAATTTCTTAAGGTGAGGCTGCATCATTTTATTTTCCTTACTGGAGCAATCAACATCCTGTAACATAATCTGTGAGTATAATTAAGATCATGTTTACTCAGCCTTAAAGAAGCTGTTGAATAAGAATAGACCCTTGATACTTAATTATGAAGGTGGATTGTGTTATTACCAATTCATCTATCAAGAATTGCATTCAACCTATTACATTCATAATTATTAAATCAGATAGTGTGATTGTTTCACAAATAAGTTGTATACTATACTTAGTATTAACTCAAATTAATGTCTCCTTTCATTTTAATACAGATATTTTAAGTATAGCAACTTGCTGGTGTTAATAAAATAAATTAAAAAAGACAGATTTATACCCTGCAAATTTCAGCAAAGTTATTTGTTAATTTGAGCAAATTAATTGAAACAAGGGTTAGTTATCCAAAAAATGACTACTGGTATTATTTTTTATACTTATTATTTGTTCTACATTATTTATAAAAATTTTCTCTTGACATTCAATTATTGTTTAAATATTTAAGTCAAATTAAAATGTAAATAAATAGAAATAGTAATCTGATGAATATCTTAAATAGAGATATTAGTGAAATATGCTGACATAAACCTAATATTTAGAAAATATTTCTTAAAGAAAACTTTAAAAAATTGTAATTTCATTAAGAGATGTAAAATGACTAGTACACTACCACAACAAGCAAAATAAATAACTAAAAATGTAGATTTATAACAAAGAAAACACCAACAAAAAAATCTAACATTTTAATCAGTTATTTAAAAGTCTATCATAAAAGGGTAGAAAAGTATTGATTTCTAAAATGTGATTTTAAAAAAAAATCTAAAAAAGAAATGTCTAAGCAAAACCAGGAAATGTAATATACTTGCTTAGTCAATATGAAAATATAAAATATGATAAAACTTCATATTATATTCACCCTGTGTTTGCCTCCTCTCTCTCTATCAAGGTTTGTAATCTTTACAAACAGATGACTATAAATGCAATTTAGAATGAAAAAAAAAAGGATTCTTCATCTATGAATACAAAAACAAGTAAAAAGAGGTTAAAAACCAACTGCTTCAGAATTTTAATAGTTTACCACATTTAAGGTACTAGTAGTCTGTTACACTAAACCTTAAATAACTGGCATATGTTATTGACAAATGCTATAACAATCAGAGCTTAGAAGTGTCTTCTCTAACCTCATATGGATCTTGAGCAAGATAACAGACTTGGAACTTTCTTGAATCTCTCAACAATTAAACAGGAACATGTTAGACATGAAATATTCCTCAGTGTGGCAAATCAAGACTTGATAAAATACAGGTCAAGATACATTTCCATAAGTGCACAAAATAAATCTCTATGCTCATAAAGTAGGGTCTTGGCCTCAGCAATTAATTTAGTTGTTGCTAACATTCTTAAAGGTAATGGGACATTTTATACTATATTTAACCTCAAAATACCTAGATCTTGACATATAATTACTTTTAAAATTCTAGGACCCTACTAAGAAATTCTGTAGATAACTGCATGGGTGGAGGAGAAGGGTGGCCATTCGATCTCAATATTGCCTGTGTCTGATGTCTCTGAGGGTCACCTAATCTTAATGCTTTAGGTACCTGACTCCCAATAAATGAATTGAAATATACATCTAATTCCACAGTAAGAAAGCTCTGGGTAGACAGGACCTACGAGTATTTACTACCTGGACTGTCTCAGCACATGACACTGCCCACATTAATAATGACAAGATGCTGAGCTGACCTCTGCTGCCATTACTTATTCACCCAGGCATCACAACTCTTTTCTGCTGATGAAAGGAGAAGCCTATGGCAGTGTGAGGCAGCCTTCAGGTGCTGGTGACTACACTCTACTCATTTGATCCATAAAATGATAAAATAGTGGAAACATCGCCACTTGGGCAAAATCAAGGTCCCTTCCATTTCACCAGCATGACTAAGGTGATTCAGCCTTGTTTTTTCTCAGACATTGTCAGGCACCCCCTAACCCCCAACCCCCGCCCACCACCACCACCTGCTTCCCTGGAAAACAAAAGAAATGCTTACTGGCACCATCAGCCCAGCTTGATGCAAAGATCACTTTGCCTGTGTCCAAAGTTTAGATGGCTGTCTGCTCTGGCTAAATTAGATTTTGCAAGTAAAGAACTGTGCCATCGCTGTGCAACCTTCCCAGCTGAGAGAACAAACGGAGCCTGTGAACACAGGCAGAGGAGGTGTATCTGTGTGTTGCTTCAACTGGAGAACGGAGGAGGAAAAGGAGGAGGAAGAGGAGAGGAGGAGGAGGAGGAGGAGGAGGAGGAGGAGGAGGAGGAGGAAAAGGAAGAGGAGGAGGAGGAGGAGGAGGAGGAGGAGGAGGAGGAGGAGGAGGAGGAGGAGGAGGAGGAAAAGGAGGAGAAGGAAGAGGAGGAGGAGGAGGAGGAGGAAAAGGAGGAGGAAAAGGAGGAGAAGGAAGAGGAGGAGGAGAAGGAGGAGGAGGAGGAGGAGGAGGAGGAGGAGCTTTGTGGGAAGTGGATGCCCCTGCCTTTGGCTTTCAGATCAGAATACTGGCAGAGTGAGGGGCTTCCATTTCTTCTTAAAGAGCAGAGGAGAAAGAAGGCTTTTGGGAATGAACTTGAGCAGAAACTTGAGTTCATCTGTCCTTCAGTTTCACTTGGGAATTATATACCTTTGTTCCTAAGGCTAAAAACTGGAGATAAATCTGTGCAAGCTCAAATGCCTAGGTGAGGATACATTTTTAAAAAGTTAAGAGCTGATGTTCCTGTTTTACCTTAAAGTGCCAGAAAGCATTTCTGTTTATTTCATTCTATTGGTTCCTCCCTGGAAAAACCCACCCACAGGTAAGACATATATACCATACACAATACAATAAATAGTGTGGACCAGGGATCTGAGAAGAATGGGAAGGTGGAAAGACATGGCAGTACTTTTTTTTAATTTTTTTTTTATTTTGATTTTTTACAGAGAGAAAGGGAGAGAGATAGAGAGCTAGAAACGTTGATGAGAGAGAAACATCGACCAGCTGCCTCTTGCACACCCCCTACCAGGGATGTGCCCGCAACCAAGGTACATGCCCTTGACCAGAATCGAACCCGGGACCTTTCAGTTCGCAGACCGACGCTCTACCACTGAGCCAAACAGGTTTCGGCAGCAGTACTTTTTTTTAATTGATTTTTTTGAGAGAGAGAGAGAGAGAGAGAGAGAGAGAGAGAGAGAGAGAGAGAGAGAGAGAGAGAGAGAGATGAGAGCCAAACACTGATCAGCTGCCTCCTGCCAGCTCCCATGGGGGATCAACCTGGCAACCTGTACGTGTGCCCTGACCTGGAATCGAACTAGCGACCTTTCGGTGCACAGGACAACACCCAACCAACTGAGCCACACCTACCAGGGCAAAGGCAGTCCTTTTGAGTGAGCAGGGCTGGTTGGCCCCTGCGGGCTGGGAGGCAAGGCAAGCAGAGACAGAACACTCATTGAGAACCTCTCAGCAGGACAGGCACTCAGGTGGAAATGGCACGTTAGCGATTTGTGGCCACCAGAAGGAAGTGTTTTATTTGCATGTTTTTTGGCTCAGGCAGGTGAAGCAAGGACTGGACAGGGCACCCCTCCTGCTCCTTGAGTTCCCTGTTCCCATTCACCAAAGCGGTTTCACGATCTCCTAATTACTGCCAACAGTGCCTTCCCTTTCAGAGTCAGAGCATGTATTTCATTCTCTAAGTCAGGACTGA